GTCGCTCGCGCTCGCTGCCGCGCTCACCGCCCGCGCCGCGCTCCCCGCCGCGCCTAGGTTTTTTCCCACCATGGTGTATCTCGCGCGTCGCTCCACCTCCCGCTCATCGATCGATTTTTTTAAATGCCTTCCGAGTCCGGCCTACCGTCTCCTGCATCCTCATTCGCTTAAACGTGTAAATTTACTACTCAATAACTAATGCTACTTTGTACCGCAGTACATGATATTTCTCCTTAGTTTAACCCAATCTACCACTATTTTCAAAGTTGCTACTTTTGCATCAGACACCCTGTATAATTAACGACTACGCGCAGCGTGCCCCTGACGCCGGCAGACGCGCAACCCGTTGTACCGCTCTGTATCGTCTTCATACAACCTGTACAGGCGGGCGAACAGGCAAGGTACTTGGCTTACTATCGATTCCAGAAGTTATAGACGAGAGAAGGACAAGCCAAATTTCAAGGAAGGGAATAGCCAATAATATTGAATTCGGAAGGAGAAATATAAAATATCGAGGACTTAGACGATCTGCCCTGGTTGTTAAGGCATTGTAAGTCAATAATTTTTATGTTCTCCTATTATAATGATTATTTTTGATTACATTAATGCAAAATTGCTTGTAACCATATAATCGATTTTTGCTAGCTGTCATTCGCATTATCAATATTCGATTTTTCTTTATTCACATTTTCAATTATCTCATTCGCGTACTTACCATAATCTTAATTTTCATCATTATTATTAATTTACTATTTCATTACTGATTCTGTACGATTGATTTTATATCAATTTTACATTATTGATTTTATATTGATTTTCTGTATCATTGAATTTATATTGATTTTGTATCATTGAATTTATATTGACTTTCTGTATCATTGAATTTATATTGATTTTGTATCATTGAATTTATATTGACTTTCTGTATTATTGATTTTGTATTGACTTTCTGTGTCATTGATTTTTTCGCCGATTTTCTGTATTATTTACTCTATATTAATTGATTGTATTATTTATTACCATCTCTTTCGACGTGGTACTTTATAATAATAATTAAATCCAATTCAGTTTCACTGTATCCCTCGTATTATTATTGCCCTCCAGTGCTCTCACTATCCCGGGCTAATACCGGTGTAGGCAGGTAAGCCCAAAAATAGAGAGCAATCTACCGTTCAGTTAGAGGTCTAGCAGGACGTAACACGTGGAACAACATGGAATTTTGAAGAACTTTATAAGAGTTTCCTAAAATTTCATAATACCATATATTTTATTAGTGAAATGTATACTAATATAATTACTAATAAAATGTATGGTAAAATTTCAAAAAACTCTCGTAAAATTCTTCGAAGTACCGTGTTGTCTCACGATTACATGATTTTTAGGATAAATTTTAAGAGAAAATTCTCTTCGTGTACTTGTATTTGTATTTGTATTGCATATGTATTCCCACACAGAACATGACGTTCATTGGACGTCCATATAACCTCCATAGTTCCATGGAACATCTATCTCTACGATAGATGTTGAATAGACCTCTAATAGAACTCCATATTACCTCCGCGATAAATATATCGTCTGTAAATCTATCATAGATGTCTAATGGCCCATACAGCACCATAGCTTTCAGAAATATTTCAGAAACATTGCAATATTGCAACAATGTTTTCTGAAATGTTTCTGAAAGCTTTGGTGCTGTATGGGGGATGTCTATGACAGAAGATACATAGATAGATATATTTGTACACGTATTATTATCTTTTTATTATATTTCTTTCTTTTATATTATCTTTTCACGTTTCCACCAAAACAATATTTAATTTTAATATAAATGCTAATTAAAATTTTCAAATGTATTGAAAGTATATTTAAAAATATGTAATATTATATACACCTTTTGGTAAAAGCTTTCTCATCGCGACAAGGTATGCCAAATAGGCCAAATTTTTTGCTGATTCCAAATTCTAGGGGGGGGGCAGATGCCCCATCTTGCCCCCCCCTCCGGACGCCCTTGGTTATTATATTGATGTATGTAAAATATTACTCCCCAATATATATTAAATAAAATAGTTTATAAGGCCTATTCTACAATGACATACATATACAGGGTGCTCCGCAACATATTGAAGACCGGTCATGGGAAGGTAGAGGGGACTAAGACAAACAGAAAAGTCCTGTACTATTTTGCGCTTGGACGAATAGTTATCGAGATACTGAATTTTAAAAATCGCCTTATTAGTCCAACCCACTGCCAAATGCAAGCGCGCGGTGAGTAGCGACCATCGCTGCGAACTTTGACGCAGCGCGGGGAGACGTGCGAGTGGTCGCATAAGCGGCGGATGGGCAGCGGCGCGCCTCGCCTCCCTACTCCTCGCCGCGCATCGCCATCCTACGATCCTACTCCTCGCTACACACCGCCTCGAGCGGGGCCGCTAAGCGGACGCATCTCACCGCGCGCTTACATTCGCCAGTAGGTTAGGCTAATTTTACGTGACAGTGACGTGGCAGTTACGTTTTAAACACCAGTTGAGACGTCGCTGCAACGTTACGTGTGACGAGTTAGCACGTCATAGTGACGTTTTTAACACGTGTCAGTGCTGGCAGGGTATAGTCAAAGGTTTAAGTATGTATCAGATTTGAAGAATTCTGAGTTCTGTAACATTAATGGCTTTATAAACACCTTACATTTTTTAAATAAATCAAATAAATCAAATAAAACACCTTACATTTTTTAAATAAATAAAATAAATAAAATAAATAAAATAAATAAAATAAATAAAATAAAAACTAATTTATGTATAACTGTGGGAACCTCGTAAAGTCTCAGGGATAGATTAAAGTATTGTAACATGAAGTCAGATTACACGAGTAAACCTATCTTACAATATTATTAAAAACAGAAAAAGAGAGAAAAGAAAGTAATAAAAATATACTGAAAAATAGGAGACATATCGCTTCAAAAAAGTGGTTAATAACAATCAATAATCTTGGAATAAAATTAATTTCGTTCGATAAACACAAATCGACGTAACGCGATCATAGATCATATCTTCCGCGCACACATTGGTCCGTCGCTTACCGGTGTCGACGATGACATCGATGAGATCCATACTCTTGGCGAAAGCGTCTCTCAAGTTGATGTGATGAAAAGACACTATGCTGCCTTCTCGTTTAGCTCTTTCAAGAGCCTCTCGCCTTTTGATAGCTTTCTCCCGTCTCATCTGATTCTTGTAGAATTCGGCAAAGTTGTTAACGATAATGGGAATGGGCAACGCGATTACCAGGACACCACATATACAACACACACTGCCGATCACCTTGCCGAGCGGGGTCGTGGGGTAGATGTCGCCGTATCCGACGGTTGTCATTGTGATGCCTGCCCACCAAAAAGTTTCTGGAATACTTATGAATTTGGTCCCGGGTTCCTCCTTCTCGGCAAAATAGGCGAGACTCGAGAATATGAGGACGCCCATTGCCAAGAAAAGCATCAGTAACCCTAGCTCTTTATATGAGTTACGCAATGTGAAGCCGAGACTCTGTAACCCAGTCGAATGGCGGGCTAACTTCAGGATCCTCAGGATCCGCATTATACGGAAGATTTGCACTACCCTGCGCACGTCCTGGAACTGGTCGTTCGCATTTTTGTTGGTCTCAACCAGGAATAGAGATACGAAGTACGGTAGTATCGCCAGTAAATCGATCACATTAAGACCGCCTTTGAAGAACTTCCATTTATCCGGTGAGGCACTGAACCTAAGTAAGTATTCGAGAGTGAACCACGAGATGCACACAGCCTCCACCATAGCAAGCTGCGGATTGTCTTGGAAGTTTCCCTTTTCATCATTTACTTGCATACTAGGAATGGTGTTGAGAGTTAGTGCAATCGTTGAAAGCACAATAAAGAGTATTGATATCACAGCTATCACCTGAAAAAGCGACGGATCAACTGGTCAAACAAAGCTAATTAATTGCGATTTGATTTATGTAAAACAGTTTCTCCTTTTAATGTCTTTCTTTATCTAACCTCATTGAGATTGTGCGAGTGAATGGGTGAATGAGTGAGAAAGAGAGAAAAAGAGAGGAAGCAAAGAAAAAGAGGAAGTAAGAACGAAGGAAGAAACAAGGGAGGGGAGAGGAAGAGGGAGAGAGGAAGAGAGAAAGAGAGAAGCCATGTATCTCTTATTCCCATTCTTCCTTTCCTTCCGTCTCTATCTCTTTCTCTCATTCCTGTGGACCTTTCTCTATTTCCTGTGAACCTTCATTTTCCTTTCTCATTTCTCCACACTTATTTCTTCATTCTCATCATACTGTTTTACCATTATTCTTCCTTCCTCCTTTCTTCCTCCATCCCTTTCTCCTCTCTCACCCCTTTCTCTCCTCCTCCCCCCCTCCCCCCCCTCTCTCTCTCTCTCTCTCTCTCTCTCTGAATATGCGCGCTCATGTGTATTGATATGTAAAAAAAAATACTTTCAATATTTAGGGTGCTTCGCACAACTCCTAGCACTACTCACGGAAAGATATAATATAAGGGGCTGAGACAAACAGAACAGTTCTGTTTGTCTCAACCTCTTCTATCTTCTCGTAAGCGGTACCAGGAGTTATGTGGAGCATCTTGTATGTATAAGTTTTGTTATCCTCATCGTCTATACCTAAACAAAATGGAAGATGACAAGTAACTAAGCTTTATTCGAATCTTCATAATTAAAGCATACAAGCCATATATGACGAGCAACAGATAATTCTACTAAAATGTTAGGAATTTGAATACGACTTTCCCTAGTTTCAACTTTAATGTCAATTAACATATATTGTTTTAAGGAGCACGATGACTGTTATTGTTCCTCTTTTACCATTAATGGAAGAAGTTATCGTCACCAAATAAAGTAAATATTCAATTAGTAATATACAATTTAGTAAAAAATTATATATATATATATATGTATATGCAGGGTGCTTTAGTTTAATCTCCCCAAGCTATTATCTTTAAAGTAAATAAGATAGCAAAACATTTATTTTGGCATATTTTCACATAAAATATACAAATATAATATCTCGAAAACTATGTATTTTTTAATAACCGTAACTTAATATCTTTAAAGGCGAATAATGAAATATATTAAATTGAAGTAAAGAAAATGTTTTGGTAGTCGCTTTTCAAAATAAGTTCATTGCATGATAAATTATATTATATAAATTGCATTTGTTCCTCATTTTACATACACCATACAACCTTTGTTGAGACATTTTTGCTTGCTAGTTGGTCAGTTTTCGAGATATTCTAGTGGTTCGTAGATAACTTACCCTGTATAGATTGTAACCTTATTTTGTGAGGCTCATAAAATTTGGTGAAAATATCGTAAATATACCTATTTAAATAAACTTAATATTTATAACACATGTTGAATAAAAAAATTTGGCCAATGATAAGAGTATATTCAGTAATCTCTTGTTTACTTAACCTAACGTATGTGATTTCAGTTTTGGAGAAATACGTAAAGGATGAAGTATTTTACACACCTGTTACAATTAACAAAGAAATAAGAATTAAATTAAATTGCACTGATTTACATTCAAATTTTGATGGAATGCAATTTAGAAAAATTAAGTTTGTTCAAGATTTGCTACCAAACGTTCAAAAAAATTGTTCAGCAAAATTATACTTATATATAAATAGAATACTTTTTGAATATTTATTAAAGTAAAGAGGCGATTTCCGAAGAATAAAATTTAGCTAAACAAAAGTTTTTTGTCCGATAAAATTAGCCACAAAATAGTACAAATCAGTATAATAATCCGTTCTATATTTATTTAATTATAATTAGTTACACGACGTATATACACTCTGGCCGAAACATCGTGTAACTAATTAAAATATATTTGCCAATTATTGTCGATTTAATTCTTAACATTTGTTTTTTATTCACTGGCGATCCATCTCTTCAAAATTGTTTTTATTTAATTACTCTATTCACCTCATGATAATATAGTATAACACCTATAATACAGTATAACATATCAAATGTAATAATATATATCATATTTGCATTTTCACCAAATTCCATGATAATTAAAAAATGAAATAAACTTTTTTGGGAAGCGAATATATGTATACATATATATTCTCAAATAATATATGTATAATCGCTTGGCGAATTTGCGATATATATACAGTAAGCAAGCAGATATGCAAAACAACATTTTTTTTATCGAATACTTTTCCTTGTTATGTTTATATGACATACAAAACTTCTTATTTTACTTGAATATTTGAAACAATTAGTGCCACCCCTTCATTCCCTACCGCTACTTTAATTATAATCATATAGTTATTAGGATATATTACTCAAAATTAGTATGGAACTTACTGAAGAATTATACTAATCGATGAATATCATTAAAGAAATTATATGCTATTTATCTCCGGGTAAAAATCCACGCTTTTTCTACTACTCATATAAAGTAGAAAGATAGATATAAATACACTTAACTAAGCCGAAAGATTCTTGCGATATAAAATACAGGGAGAAAAGGCTATTGAAGAAGCAATACAACTCTGATCAAGAGAGCCATCATAAATGCAAGGAGGACATGATATGACTTCGTCAAACAAGTGTTTCCGTGGAATTGAAGAATATGCTGTCTCAATGGAGAGTTGATAGTGTTTTTGCAGAAATGTGTAATGCGACTGTGTAAACATAGTTTCATCACCAGAGAGTATCTCGTCGTTTAAACGCAGTCTGCCCGACGTCGCTCGACTCACAGTTTTATTGCATTGTTCGGCTAACGTACAAAAACATATTTTTGTACGTCCCTTCAAAACCCCGCTCCCTCGCTCAATCAAAATTCCATATGGATTTGTTTCTTTAAGAAAATTCACTAACCCATCTCCTCCTTCCCCTGCCCACGGTCTTATACACAGGTCGGGACACTCGTGGAATAAAGCGTGCTCGAAATGACGCCAATATGGCGGTCAGCTCAGGCCTAAAGGTGCAATTTCACGTGACTTTTCGACGTAGTGGGAGAAAAAGTTGACAGCTGTTCCCCCACTACGTCGAAAAGTCACGTGAAATTGCACCTTTAGGCCTGAGCTGACCGCCATATTGGCGTCACTTTGAGCACACTTGAAAGCATGTAGCCGGTATAGGAGTGTCCCGACCTGTGTATAAGACCGTGCCCCTGCCTCTCTTCCTGCTACTATATTCACACACTAATGCAATCGCTACAATGCGAAATCAATTCGTCGTTTCAAAGGCTTAGCGAAATCATAATATCAATGCTTGTGCGAGATCAGATTTTCAAACATAAAATAATAATGAGTTTGCATCACAATATTTATATCGCAAGTAAATAAGAAAAGTGCGTACATTCGATGGCAAACCAATAAAGTAGCAGATTTATTTATGTGCCTTTGTACATTTTTTATTTAATATAATATTGAATAGCATCGGATAATAGATCAAAAGATTTAAAAATATATTTAAAAAATAAAAACCAAACAGGTATGTTTCTAGAAGATAACATATACACCATTATTTGAAACAAATACCGAACATTTGAAAGTTAGTAATAACATAATAAATTAAATACTTTTAGAACGGTAATATACGTCGAAAACGTATAGTTTACTTATAAAAATAATTATAATAGTTCTAAAATAGTGATCAGAACAAACCAGAGAAAGATGAAAAAGGAAACAATTCTACTTATTTAAATGCCAGAACTTATACAATTTACAATTAGTGTTACATATTATATTTTGTACTGTAATGCACCCACCTCGTTTTCTTAGCATTCCTACTCAATACGTAATTTTTTCAATAATGTATATTAGTATGCTATTGATAGAGATAAGATTAAGGGTAAGCACAGTATCTCCTATCCTTTTACTCGTTCTTATATCATAATCAATTAAAATAAAGAATGAAGAGTGGCATAGGAGACAATATTAAGAATACGAGAGAATATTAAATAATCCAAAATTTTCCGCTGTATTCAATATTAAATTCTATTAAAATTTTTGAGATTCTTCTAATTTTATTAAGATTACAAATTTGGAATCATGTAGCAATAAATAAAAGCAAAGCAAGAGCTAAAGCCAAAACACATCGCAAATACAAAAATATAGACACACACAAAACGATTGCGTAATTAATTCTTGCAAAAATTATTTTATACAACTTACAAAAAGAATAAATGTGAAACGGTAAATGGTTAATGCGAGCCAAAATGCAGTTGGTGAAGCGTGATTTGAATTTACTAATAACAAACTTTATTAGGGTTTCTTCAAACGTCGTCAGTTCTCTTTTTGGATCTTTAATGGAAAAAACTGAAATAACAATATAGACACATGGTCAATCATGGTAAATCGTAAAAGTAATGTCTACAAAAAGTTATTTCAATACATACAATTGTGGATATCAGGATCACTGTAACACTAGATGCTAATGCGATTGGTTAATGATTACTTGCCATATATCCACAATTTTTGTACACCTCACTTTTACACTTTACCGTGATTGACCATGTGTCTATATTGTTATATTAGTTCTTTTTACCGAGGATGTTCCAAAAAGAGGACCAAAACGTGGAGAAACCCCAATAAAGTTTTTTCTTAGTAACTTCAACATCATGCCTCATCATCTGCCTTTTGGCTCGCATGTCCTTTTTCTTTTCATATTTGTTTCTTATCTTGGAGTTGTTTTCTATTTATTTTTTTCTACAGATAAAAGTCCTAAACTTGATACTTTTCATACATGATAAGAACGTTTGAGTTATTAGATTTGCCTCGAATGTATTGTCACAAACAAAAATCAGTGAAGGAAAAAGTTTAGTTGTCCCAATTAATTCTTTGCAATAATATCAGTGTCATTAAGTTATTATTAAATATTCTAATATTATTTTTAATAGTGTTATCTAATATATTTAAAGCACGTGTTAAAATTTAAAGAATTTTCATACATTTATAAATCGTACAACAAAAAATTGTTTCCAGTACAAGTACAAGAACTAAAATAATCGTTTTCCATAGCTTTCTGGATTCTAAACACTAAAATCCTATTTACCAAATTGTTTCATTATATCACAATTTTGAGAAATTTGCAATTATAAATCGCAAAAAAAAGCTTTGAAGTGTACTTTAGCATTATTATAAGGACGATGTACAGTATACTGAAAATGTTTCATTGCAATTATAATTAATTAATTATGTTAGGACTTTCAGCTCTTGAAAATTTGTTATGTGTGTGTATTCATTACAGTTAAAAAAATATTGACGATTAACAGAATTTATTGCGTCAAAGTTACGACATACATAGAATATTAAGAATCTAAAAATATTTTTTAATTATTGTGGGATCAGTTGAGGGAAGGGACGTGGAGTGGACGGACGACGGATGTCTCGGTGAAATCACGATATTTTATTGCGCGTAACAACGCGCGTTCTCCTGCGTATTCTCTTACAACGATTCTCTTACACTCTCTGTCTACTACTGTCTTATCAGTTAACCACTCCCGCTTCTTCCTCTCGGCTACTCCCGCGCGTCCTCCGTGGCCAGAGGTGGCGCTCTCGCTACCGATCCCACATTACGATATTCAAACTTAAGAGTTTTTCAAGTCATAGAATACTAATCTAATGTTAAAGGTGATAAATTCAAAATAGCGAAACCAATTTAGCGAATATCAAAGCAAAAATGATCAAATTTTTACTATTAACATCCATAAATAGCTCTGCCATTTTGAGTTTATCAACTTTAACATCAGATGAACATTCAGCAATCTAAAAATTCTTTAAGTTTAAATAACATAATTAAAAAATATTTAATAGATCCTTAATAATCTATGTAAGTCCTGACGTTGCCTCTACATACA